ATTGCTGGACCTGTTTGTATAGAAAATACTAGCTACACACTGAATTCGAATCACCGAAGGCGGTAAAATTTGCCGAAGTTTTTGAACAGCTGAAAAACTTGGTAAAATTTCAGTCCGCTTTGAGAAGCGGATGAGAACGGTTGAGTCTTTTTGCTCCGCTGCGTGCTTTTTTTTAGAGCTCGGGCTATCTTTGTGCTGCCGTGTAGTTTTTCGGTGCTCGCATTTGAATAGTTTTGTGTCCCGGACGCGATAATTCGATTTAAAATGATTTCTGCTCTCGCTCCCTTTGGTGACGGTGTGACTCGACCGCGCTGGTCTATTGTTGGGTTTTTGCGGTGTGCATTGCTTTTGTGCACAGAGTGACATGAAGAAGAAAAGTGATATTTCGTTATTGTGTGGTTGGATTCGCTGGAAAAGGAATTGTTTAAAAATGAATAGAGAAAATTAAGCATCGAGAATGCGCTCCCGGATATATTGATTTGGTGAGTACGTTCCAGTTGAAGATTGTTCTCTCTAAATATCCCTTTTTTGAATACATTTAATTAATCAAACATTATTATATGCTGGGTTTGGGGGGCAGCCTAAGGGTTTCAAAGGATTTGTAGACTGGACAAGGGTTCGTGGATTTGCCAGTCCCTTGTCACGTGTTGATAGACGTACATCTTGTCGTTTGTCTTCCAAAGGTCTTCAATGAAGTTGATTCACCCTGCTGCAACAAACCATCAGGCAGAACTTTACAACCAGTGAAGTATCTGCAGTCATAGGTAATCCTTGCACTGATGGTGGGTTCTATTCACATCACATCACAGCTGAAAAACTTGGTAAAATTTCAAATGACCGTTACTCGAAGGAAATCAAAAAAATCAACAAATTTGATTTGTATCTTTAAATGGGGTTAACTACCCTAATAAAAAATAAACATAAACGAACGATAACCCAAATAATAGAACTATTCCATAAATGGTTTGGATGATACCCGGAACACGTCGTTAAGCAAAATAACCATAGCAATTTTATTAGGGTAGGTCTGTACATTTTCGGAAAAAAATCTCCAAATTTTAAAATTTTCCACTGATTTGTAAACTTTTACCGAACAGTTCCGTAGTTCAAAAATTACCAAACAGCGGAGTCCTGATTTAGTAGATATATATTGAAACCAAATTTCACCCAACTTATACTTGCACACTTTAAATTAATTTTCAAAATTTTTAGAATAAATAGTGTTATATAGTGATCTATTCCAAGTCTATTCTTAAGTTCTCATATACATTTAAAACAATGTTGTTCACAGAATGATGAATGAACTAGGTGATTAATTATAGCATCCAATTTTATTTTTGATATCACTGAACTCTCCTGTTTCGTTAGAAGAATAATGTTTACCTAATGTTGCCCATACATATAATGCTTAGTTTTATCAACCGGTGAACACTCGTATTTTTTTCAGTTACCGTGGAGACGTAATTTGTGATTAGCCCCGGTCCCTTTCAAATTGTATCACTATTTATGTACGGTCCTTATATTTGAAATGACGTTTCACATTCATCTAGTGATGGCCGATTTTCATTCGAATAATCGATTAATCGATTAACGAACCGAAAAGTAAAATATTTGTAATCGGTTATATTATGCCGATATAAGTATTAACATCTCCAGAGGATCATCATCGATCGTTTCAAACATGTGCTGCACTATCATTGGTAGAAAAATGGCAGCACAGCGAACAAAAAATAATCGATTAGTTGTTAAACGAGTAATTAAAAAATGGGACATCTGTGATTTTGATGTGATTGTTTTGATAAAAAAAAGTGCGCAAAATTTCATTTCTACCGACGGGGCATCAAAACCACAAAATTCCCTTGCATACGGGGGGTATTCATTGGATGAAAGGGACCGTGAAAGAGGACACTAAAATAGAAAGTTTTTCTTCCGACAGTTTCATCTTAGTATTCATCTTTGGTTTTATCTTAATGATACACTATATTTATCATGATGAAAATCCTCTTATACTTTCTGAAAAATTACTATTGATGATTATTAAAGTAAGCTAATGACCAGAAGACGTGCAAGAAAGTTAATGTAATGTGTCATACAAACTGTATTAATGACCACACATATAGTTTATTAATTAACATAGGAAGTATCGTGAACGTGAGTAATTCTGCGACTTGTCATTCAAATACCAAATTTGTATACCAAATGTTGTAACTGTTTGACAGGACACAGAAAATGCACAGGACAACAGATTACATGACATGTACTTCCAAATTTTTCGAATTTAATCAAATCGATTGTCGAGTGCGTTGAATTCCAACACGTTCACGGCACGCCAAATAGAAACTATCATGCTGCTGTTTTGGTAAACATGTATAAATGGAAATCATACATATAATAATTAATTTACGTTACGTGTAGGTATGTGAAACGCTGATAATATTTATGTTATTTTGAAGTAAAAAAATAACATGATCATGCTTGTGATTTTGTAGAAAATGTACATCCATATAAACGAAGCCTGGGTGATTGTTGACTGTAAAAAGATATATTTTTTATTTAGTTTGAAATCGATTTTATATCACACACGAAGATTTAAACAAATGGCAACACTGCATACCTCGCTACATGCGCGAAGGTGTATTGTGAGTCAGTCGATCTAAATGACGTACGTTCTCCCTCCTCTTGGGTAGGGGAAGAATATTGACAAAGTGAAATGAAAATCAGTTTTCAACAATACTCGTCATCAACCATCGTCATCAATATTACCTTTTCAATAATATTTTCAGTGTGTCAATTTACTGTCAATATATTAACCCGTGTAACAAGCGCTTTAGTGTGTTGTCATTAATGTTGTCAATATTTCAGTATTGATAATATTGTAAGAAAAATTGACAATACGATGTTTTTAATATATTGACATGTGTAATGGGCGCTTAAGAAAATAAATAAATAAAAAATTGTGTTTTGCTGTGGCTAGCTGCGCGTATTCTGAGTAGATAGAAAGAAGATTTATCACAATTCTGAAGATTTCCTGCAAAAAGATGATGCGCGGTGCAAGTAGATGCGAGAAAAGAAAGAAGATTTATTAGCTTGTGTGAGATTTTTTGAGCATCTAGAATTGAGATTTAGATGTGTCACCCCCCTCGAGCAAGGTTCAATTTACTTTGATGCATTTTTTAAAAATTCAAAAGCAGTTTTTTTCGACACATTATTTTAGATTGCAAAAAGCTCGCGTCATTTTGTGTAAATATCAAAAGGAATCGAATAGTGCGAGCTTTTTGCAATCTGAAATAAAGCGTCGGAAAAACTGCTTTTGAAATTTTCCAAAAAGCATCATAAAGTAAATTGAACCTTAACGAGATGAAAACGCATAGCAGATGACAGTCTTTTCTCTGCTCAAGTTTTCTCGAGCTCACTGCACTCTTCACAAAAACTCTGCAATAGGTAGAAACTCGGTTTCTTCTAGAAATTCCCTGCAACAGAAAAGAGAATCACTAAGCACTTTTTCCTTGTCGCCAGTTATAAAGTATTTAGCTAATCTTAAGATAAGACTTCTTTCTTTTGCTTGTTAAATGTAAAGATGTAAATTCGGTTTACACTTCCAGAACACAACTCTCTGTTGCTTCTGAGTGTAATTCCTTTTTATATGTACAATAGTGTTTGTTTGTGTGTAAAAAAAACCCGAACGATTGATGATCGTTTGTCTAATGGGTTCAGCCCATTTACCGAGTACGTTACTCATTTTAATCGAATCGTGGTACGCTGCAATTTCATCTGAAGTATGAGGGTTTGGTAGCGGAACGTAATCATGCTGGTTGCAGAATTCTATTTTTGGACCTGTACAATTCTTTAGAATATCATTCCATACTCTTGTACTGATTTCTTGCTCTTCTATTTTTAAAACTTTTAAGATAACTATATGTTTTCCTTATTCGCATACTTTCATCAAAATCGGTTAGCTGTCTAAAGAACAACATAATTTCTTTTTCCCTATGGTTTTTTACAGCTTGAGCTAACTCTTGTTTGCGGTTCCTTAACTTATATTTATAATTTTGCATATCAGGATGATGCTTTACTATTTTCATTGCTGTTCTTAATTTATCAAACGCCTTTCTCCTTGCTGCTATGCTTGGGGTTTTTGATACTTGTATGGTAATTAAGACTGCCATTTTCAGCTTTTTTGCTAGGTTCACATAGCTTTGTTCTATCGACTGCTTATTTATATTTTTCATTTTAATTGATTTCAGGCTTTCCTGAAACTTATTTTTAAAACCTGGATCCTTTATAATTTCTATTCATATTCTAGTTTGTTCTTTAGTTTTTATTTGATTAACTTTTTCCTCCATGAATACGATACCTACTTGTATTAGTTTATGATCAGTTCCAATCGGTGTCCATATTCCTTTAATAAATTTCTTCCAAATACTACTGTACTGAGGAACTAGAATATGACCAATTTAGCTTTGTTTATCTTTCATCAAATTACTCGTTGAGTAATGAGCTAAAATTATGCGAAACCATGGAATCACTCCGTATTTCTCCAATTTTCCAGTAATAATTAAAACGCCATAAAAAAGATTCGCAAATATGCAAAGGCCCTCCAATCTGGCCACCAGAATGTCTCACGCCGACACCCGAGCAGGAGAAAATTACTAATGAATACCTTATTTTGAACTGATACAAAAATTTTGTGTTGATCAGCATGACATAAGAGGTAAAATACCAAAGAACAATACCAGCAAATTGCATGCAAAATATTTTGTAAATAACTAAAATTGATATTTGGATACCAGAAGAATACCTGTGTGAGATATTCGTTCCTACTCGGGCAGCAACAGGTTCCAAAGAAATCCAAACTCAAAACAAAACCAAGAAAAATCGCACATACGATTAAGTATCGCAGCGGTTCCACCCGCGCCTGTCACACCCCACGGCAGCGTAATTCGTGGGCCATCAACGCATCTCGCCGCCCGGAGAGACACTTCTTCCCATCACACCTGAGCTACTCGGTCGGTCTTGTCACGTCGTACCGGCTAAACTGTATAAATACACCTTTCGATCGGAATGGAATCGGTTAATCGCGGATAGGTCTTCGACCGAGCAAGATGGGTAAGTGCGTTTACCGGTTCAACATACTGATATGTTTACAAAATCAAGTGGAAATTGATGTGTGTCCCACAGGGGTCAACGGATTCAGTGTGCAAAAAAAAATATCGCATTTTTTTTTGAAGTTCAATGTGACGATAAAAATTTGGCAAAGTGTTTCTCTTCTTCGTGAAAGCCTAACGAACTCCGGGAACAAAAAAACCGGATCGCAAGTGTCAAGTGTTACCGAAGGCGGGGATGCAAAAAAATATGAATAATCAACGAGTTCTGCAAAATGTCCCCCCATCAAGTGGATCCTAAAAGTGTTATGAGTGGTATAACGGCACTTTCAAGATTTGAATCGAATGTGAAATGCGATAAAAAAAAAACTCTTTCCATACCAAAGCAGAGCCTGTTGATGAGTGGTGAAAAGAAATGTTCCGGATCGATTGATCTCTGGAAAGAGTTTGGATGTCACTATTTTTAAGAAGCAGAGCCATAGAAAAAAGGATGGATGGAAATTTGCATAAAAACTAGGTCGAGTTTGGGATGACCATCGATTGACTATTCAGTGTGTTGATTTATTGATGAGTTTGCAGAAAATCGTTAACTATTTTCAAGAGGGTTTCAATTAAAAACAATATTGAGAGGATTTTTTTTATAGATCGGACAATAAGAAAAAAAATATAGAGATAATGTAAAAAATCTAGCATTTTGACAAAAATTTATCATGGATAACAATTTTTATTGAACTTTTATCTTTGACCAAGCTTATGATTTATGACTAATACCTTTTCAAAACGTATGTTTCATTTAAAATAGTTTTAAATAAAGTTCCCTTACTAAACAAACCTACTCAGACAAATTGAATGCCCTTCATGTAATCATGAAAGTCAATTCTTGGTCAAGTTAGTACAAGTCCTAAATATTTGGTCAAGATGGTCAAGTCTAGTTGGAACTCCGTTCATAGTGACTAAGTGACTACAACTAGGCTTGAAAAAGGAAGAATATTATAAGTAGAATTTTGAAAGGGCTGGAAGAAATCTTTTTCAAATATCAGGGAGACTTCTTTCTTTAGCGCCTTGAATGTTCTATAAACATGGTTTAAATCAAACATATTGACAATGTTTTTTTTTTCTCTGTGCTAATTCCTTAATTTGTTAAACAAAATTCTATAAGACATACTTAAAATACACCCAACGAGCGGACTTCCGTGGAATGATTACATTCAGAAAACTATACGCAATATATCCATACGATTAGTATTAGCGAGTGCTTGATGTAAGAACCATACAAATCTTTCCATAAGAATTCGCATGGATCCATTTTCCTGCGCTTGTTATCCATGAGCCAAAGATTGCTTGATTCTTATATGCTTTTGGTAACCTTATTTCTGCAATCTAGATTTATTCGCTCATTTGATGTCAAAACAAATACTAAGGATAACATTTAAGTCTGAGTTGCACTGTTCCTTCTGTCCCATGGTTGACAACGCTCTCCTACACCCAAAATAAAACAATCTCCTTTCCAATTTGGAAATTCCAAGCAATTGCTGTTCCGCTGTTTGTAAACCACGTGGATAAAGCTGACCTTGATCTTTGCGTAACACCTGCAACCTCCTTTACTTGGTGAAGACAGGTGATGGTAAAAAACGTAACAAACATCATCATGAATGACTGACTACGTTTTTGAACCACGGTCACTCATAAATCATTCATTAGCAAATATTGATTAAAAATGTTCACAATAGTAATGGTGGATGGTAGGATCAATTTTTATCCCACAGTAATGACATGAGGGAGCTGGGGGTAAGACGGACTTATTGTTTTATCGTCAACAAATACAGCATTTACTTGGTAATATTCTGTAGGTTAATGCTATGCTTAAAAAACTACATAGGGTAAACGCTCCTCCGTTAGAAGCGTTAGGTTCCTTAGCTTAGGAGTCTCCATAGGCAATCATAGGAACCTAACGATTCCAAGGTACCGCAACTATTTATAGGAGCTTTTACTCTACCAATTTGCCTCCCTTAGCTCAGTCGGTAAAGGCGCAGCTACAAAGCAAGACCATGCTGGAGGTGACTGGGTTCGATTCCCGGTCCGGTCTAGGAATTTTTCGGGTTGGAAAATTTCTCGAATCCCTGGGCATAGAGTATGATTGTACTTGCCACACAATTATACTAATGCAAAAATGGTAGTAGGCATCGAAAGCTCTCAATTAATAACTGTGGAAGTGTGATTATTGTAGGTCATATTGAGAACATAAAAACACATTGTCTTCTTCTTCTTTTTCGTATTTCAAGCTTATTGATTATCGCATACCAGTTTATTGCGTGCTCTCAGCTTAGTGTACTGGATGCACTTCCACAGTTAATAATTGAGAGCTTTCTATGTCTGTACCATTTTTTCATTAGTATAAAGGGTGTCCCAATCAAATTGCATCACGGAAAAAAAGCTGTAGAAAATTACCTAGTTGACCGATCCCGAAGTTTCATACAATAAAATATAACCCACCCATTAGTAAGCTTTTGGCATATTTATTTCATTCAACTTCAATACCATAACCGTACGCTCGCACCTTACGCTTAATTCCACTCATTAGGTTCTGTACAAATCTGGCTGCAGTTTCTTCTGCACAGAAACCCACTTTTTCTTCATGTCTTCCTTAGATTTGACCTCCTTGGGATGCTTCCGTAGTGCCTGCTTCATAATAGCCCAGTATTTTTCGATGGGCCTTAGTTCCGGTGCGTTGGGGGGTGGGGTATCATGTCCTTGGGTACGAAAGTGACTCCGTTAGCTTCGTACTACCCCTGGACAACATTTGAATAGTGGCACGTAGCTAGATCCGGCCAGAAGATCGTAGGGCCCTCGTGTTGCTTCAACAGAGGAAGCAGACGCTTCTGTAGACACTCCTTGAGGTAGATCTTCCCGTTTATAGTTCCGTTAGTCACGAACGAAGCACTCCGTTTGCCACATGAGTTTGGCATTTGAAAGTTTCTGCTTCCTTACTTCCTCCGGAACATCAAACTTGTGCTGGGCGGTGAAGAATAGTAGTCTCATCATCCATGATAAGACAATGAGGCTTCGTCAACATCTGGGTGTACAGTTTCCTGGCCCGTGACTTTCCCACCGTATTTTGCCGTTCGTCACAATTTGGAGCATTCTGCACTTTGTACATATGCAGTCCCTCCCGGTCCTTGGTTCTCTGAACGAAAGACTTGGACAGATTCAAGAGTACATTTTCCACGTCTAAATAGGAGGGAGTAGGCCAATAAAGCCAGAATCACAACTCACTATGTGACACATAAAGTAACATGAGCATTCAAGAACTAGATCATTAGCGGTGACGGTAAATGATGTCATGCTAAATTTAGAGCTGCTTAATCACTGATTTTTTATGAACGCCCCTACCCCTTCAAATTTATGCGCTCCCTTTAAGAAAGGCCCATAATTGTGTGTTATTTGAGAATGCACACAAAATTCAATTTCCTCTAAAACTAGGGTACGGATAAAACTTGTCTCCAATCAGCTCACCATAAAATTTAAAACTAACTCAGGTCAACGGAAAATCAATAAAGTACTATGTTAAATACCCGACGTTTCGGTGTTTGAACTTGGCCTTCTTCTTCATTCTTTAATTTAACGTCGGTCTCTATTCCACAATCTAGTGCCAATCACCGACGGACATCGATTGCCATCCATTTACGGCAACCGAATGTGCAGGAAGGCAGCTTCCACACACCTGCGTAGGATATCGCTCCCATTCAAACACACATGGGCCGGGACCAACGGCTTTACTTCCCTTCCGAAGGAAGTCGGGACCAGAGATTTTTGTGCCTCAGAAAAATCCCACCGACCTCGGCTGGGATTGAACCCAGACCTATTGGGATGAGAAAGCAGTCACACTTGGCCTTCTTAAGGGTATATAAAGATGTACCCTATAGATGTGTAGCGCAAAACGCTTTACGATCTAAAACTAAAACTAGTCCTGATAAAGATCCCAATCCCTGGAATGAAACGTTCGCGCGTCCTAAAAGCCCTTGAGATCTCTAAACTTCAATAAAGCTCTCTAAACTTCTCCGAATTTCTTAGAACGTTTTAAAAGTTCTCGCAATTTTCTATTCGGCCTTGAAGTTATTTTTCTCTGAAGTTTTTGAAACATTTTTGAAGCTCACGAAACATCCAAACATACATGAAGTTTTCGTTTCTTCATGAAGTTTCCTAAATTTTCAAAAAGTTCCGAAATTGCACTATCGTTCCATCCATTTTCCTGATATTCATGGTCTGCTCTGAAGATTACGCAATTCTAGTATTTTTTTGGAACATTCCTGAAATTCTTGCACTTTTCATAATTCATCGGAACATCTGCTCTGAAGCTCTCTGATCAAGTTTGAAATAATAAGAACATTTCTTGAATAAAAAATTAAAAAATTATCGGAACATTTCTCTGAAATTCTTTGAAATTCTCGGAACTTTACTGAAGTTTTCGGAATTTTCTTAAGTCTCTTGATACTTTTTTAAAATTCTTGCAATTTTCTTGAAGCTAATTGAACTGCCCTGAGGATCTAAAGTTATTGGAACTGCCCAGAAATAAATGAAATTATCCTAGAAATTTTTAACCTCCCTTGAAAATCTCTGGACTTTCCTGAATTTTCTGAAACTTCGTTTTTATATTTCCTGGAATGATTGGCACTGCCCTTAAGGTCTCTGAGCATCCCAAAAGATCTCTAGACCTAACTTTCTTGAGGTTTATGGAATTTATTCAAATTTCAACAATGTTCCTCAAGTTCTCACAAACTTCTTTGAAGTTTTCTTAACTTCCCTGAAGTTATCAGGGTATTCCTGATATTTTAAAAACTTCTTAAAAGTTCCTGCAATTTCGCTGAAGTTGATGGAACGGCTTTGAAGTGCTCAAAGCCTCCCTGAAGTTTCCGAAATATTATAGAAGTTCTTGATACTTCCCTTATTAAACCGCCGTCTGTTCAAGAAACTTCCCCGAAATCCTCGATATTTCCATTCATTCAT